GAGTAAGTGAGGGAATTCACATTTGCTGGATGCCTACTTGGGCCAATATATTTCACACTGGCCCAAGTAAGGATCTAGTAAGTGTTAATCCTTCAAAGTATGGGAAATATTATTTACATGGGCAGAAAAAAATGGAGAATCAGAAAGGCACTCTTTCCATTACATTAACAGAAGCTTCAAGAACGGAAAGATAATTTTTTGATGAAGAGGTGGGATATGTAAAATGTGTGCAGGGCGTCATGGAATCATTTTGGGAAGATTCCAGAGCAGACAATTGGGGGTGGGGGCACTGAGCCAACAGTAAAGGCAGCCAGGATGGATGGCACATGGCAAGGTGTTCACCTGGGTAGGAGGTTACAAGTCTGAGATATGAGAACCGAAGTGGGGCCCTTAAACGTCATGATGTTGTATTGACACTAATTTGTGTCACTTTGGGTTTCTAACTATAGATGTGCCATAATTAAGGATTTGCTGGAGGCAAGGTGGAATGGAGCTAAGGGAAGGAGGCCAGAGGTTCAGAAGTGCATGATGGGGAGGCGCGTGGTGGTAGCCCTGAAGGAGACCTGACTGCGCAGGACATTGGAAAAGAGAGAACATCCGAGGGAGTGATGATCAAGCTAGAAGGACCAAAAACCGTGTTGACTGCAACAAAACAAAGTTATAAAATGTCATTTTCCTCTAATTGCCAGACAGCTCCTCACACAAATCAAAACATGCTGTTTACCATGTAATCACATAATATCACCAGCTGTTTGCATTCATAGTAAGTCCTCTTACATGCCTTTCTCAGACTTAAACAGGAAAATTCCCCTTTGCTGAACATTATTGCCAAAATAGAACACATGAAAAAAAAAGGGGGGGGGCATTGAAACCTAGCAATACATATTCACTTCTGGCCCTAGGACTGTATTTTAAAATATATGAAAGCTTTGGAAATCACTTTTTTTTTAAATTTTTTTTTCAACGTTTTTTATTTATTTTTGGGACAGAGAGAGACAGAGCATGAACGGGGGAGGGGCAGAGAGAGAGGGAGACACAGAATCGGAAACAGGCTCCAGGCTCTGAGCCATCAGCCCAGAGCCCGACGCGGGGCTCGAACTCACGGACCGCGAGATCGTGACCTGGCTGAAGTCGGACGCTTAACCGACTGCGCCACCCAGGCGCCCCTGGAAATCACTTTTATTTTCACTTTGAATCAGCTCTAATCTTTCAACACAGCTTTTACTTCTGAAAATGGACTCCATTTTCCCCCATCCCTGCCTGGAATTACATTCGTGTTAAATCATCCATGCAATCTTTGGCATCACTAATCCTAAGGCTTAAGAACTTTAAATATACATAGATACTGAAGAGAGTCTTTACCTTAGAGAAATCAGGGTGTGGTGCAAGTAATACTCTTAATATTGTAAAAGAGTTTTCTACCACTGACACTAATTTTTCAAAATGTATCACCACTGGTGAAGTGGAAGTAAGATCTGACAAAAAGTTGCAGGTAGGTAACGTTTATTTTGACATTAGCAACTTAAAATCTCTAGTTGCAAGTTGTGCCTTATCACGTACATTGAACGAGATAGATGATCTGCTTTGGGGGGTGCTTGTGTGTGTTCTTCTCTTTTCTAGGATAAGATGTTAGGTAGAAGAATACCACGGTTAAGAAACTCCGAATACCAACCTCCATCCTCCTTGTTAATTCATTCTTCTTTTAGCATTTGCGACAGTGAACACTAAGTAAAATAGAAGTATATGAATTTGGGGAAATGAGTCATCTTTGACCCAAATTATCCTGGTTTTAAACAGAACTGAAATACGATAAAAGATGGGATTTGAAAGATACTTTCAACACTTTTTTTTTTTTTTTTAGAGTTTGTGTGTGTGTATGTATGTATGTATTTAAAGAGTGAGCAGAGATGGGCAGAGAGAGAGAGAGAGAGACAGAGAGAGAATCCTAAGCAGGTTCCACACTGAGCCACCCAGGAGCCCCTCAACATTGACATTTTACAATTTTGTGATTTCAAAAATTTTTTTTTGTGCGACCAGAATTATACATTCCTGGTAAATCAATTTTGCCATGTTTACATTTCCTGATTTTTCATATTCTTGCACACACATAGAAGTGGAGGGTAAGGGACTACATGTAAAGATATGCACATATTTTTGCTAAGCTATGTATGCTATTTTCCTAACTTCTCTCCTTCTGTTCACACCTTAGTTTGTTTTACCCTAAGTTCTATACAGGGAATGAATTGGAAATGTATGCCTGTACACAAACACACACATTTACTCCAGTATCCTAACTCCCAGTGATGACCACCTCCTTCATTCTTTGGTTTTGATCTTCTGCTATCTTCTCCCTTGCCTCTTTATATCTGGAGAATTGCCTTAATCAAACATTTCTATTCTTTATCTGTCAACAATTATAAAGAACAATCTGCAAATATTTTTTCCCCTAACTAACTTGATGTAGTTCATTTTTTCAGCCACATTACCCAGAGTCTGGGTATTAACCTTGACTTTCCCCTAATTTCCTTATCTCTCTGGAATGGAGTCTTGTACTTTTTCTATCTTTTGTCATTCTATTAACATGCCTGTGGCTGTTGCCAAAAGGAGGGAGTGCAGCTTGGAATGCTTCTACACGTGCAGAAAAGCGCTGGCTACAGAACATATTTATGGTCAGTCCGCTACTCAGCTCTGAGAAAGAGCTGTTAGGACAAGAAGTGCCACGATGACATAATTTCTTACAGCATCCTTCACTCTTACAGTTAAACTCACTTCCTTCACTCTCTGCCCCACCTACAGGGAAACTTCACAGTGTTTCTAGTAGAGGCAAGTTTTCCATTTAAACATTGTACATTTGTCAATGTTCTACCATTTTTCAAACTTGTCTTTTCATGTTTCATCCAGATGTAGTGCAGTGTAAAGGGCTGTTTTACCTGATTAGCCCAAGGGATGGGGTCCGGAGCCCCTTCCCCTCCCCCCCCCCCAAAGAGACTCCACCCTGCTACCGCCCTTCTGCGTGCCCGCCCCATTTTGCCCCAGGGTTCCAGATTCTTGCCCCACCCACGTCTTCAGCCGTGGGCATCCCTCGCCTTCCTGCTCTCCCCACAGCTTTCCTGTTCTCAGATGACTTCACTTAAGGAGTGGTCCACGATTTTAAGACACTGTTACACTTATCTCATTTGTTCTTCTTCGGCACCCTAAGAGCCGGGCAGATCCCTCCTCGCAGTCCTGTTTTGTGTCTAAGAGTCAGGCCCATTGACTCATCCCGTGTGGACTGGAAGTGGGCTGCTGTCGACTCAGCGTCCAGGCGGGACCACCTTTCCCATCATTCCTCACGTAGATTGTGGCAGGTGGCAGAGGCCACACCAGGCGGTACCCTGCCTTTGTTTCCATTAATAACGCACACCCGGCCTTTAGAAGGGTTTGGAAAATGCCACACAAAATGTAGAGCACGGCTTTTCCTGGCTAGAAGTCGTTCCTTTGCTCTCATTTCCTGTTTCTCGGCCTCTCCCTTGTTTCTCTTCCCACCCCACTTACTGCAAATCTTGCTCTCCCTAACATAAACTTCCCCTTCGCAGCCTTCCCACCGCCGGGGCGGTTTCCCGCGCGGGGCGGGCTCAGGGGCACCGCGCAGGGGTGCCTGCGGGCTCGGGAGCTCCAGCGCGCTCACCTAGGTTTGCAAGAGAAGTGGCGCACGCATCTCCACCGCTGACCGCAGCGCCCGGCCAGCCCACCCTCGCACCCCGCCCGTCCGCTTCCGCCCCGTCTCCTCCCCGCCCCCGCCGACCCTCCGGCGCGGCGCTGACCCCGCGCCCTCCGAGCCGCGGCGGGAACGGCCGCCCCGCCGCTGCCTCCACTCTCCCGCCCCAGAATCCCGCGGATCCGCTCCCCCAGGCGCGAGGGCGGGGAGGGAGGGGCCGCAGGGGAGAGCGGCTAGGGCTCCGCTCCCGGTCGCCCGCTACTCGTGCCTCCCTCCTGGGGCGCAGGGCCGGGGGCTGGACTCCCCTACGCCGCGGCTAGGATCCCTCGGGGCCTCGGCAGGGGTCTGGAGCTCCAGCTTCCTACCCCTCCTGCAAGTTCGCCTGCTTTCCCGAATAACTAGCGCGGGCAGGCACCCCTTCTCCCGGGTTTCCCGAGCGAGGCATGCGTCTCCCCTGCCCCCATCCATCCCAAGGTGAAGCGCTGGGAGGGAGGACGCCCCCGCTTCGCCCACAACGTGCGCTGCTCCCGAACCCAAACAATGATCCCTCTCCCTTCCTCGCCCAGCCCCCGGCCCGCCCCACCCCCGCGCGTACCCCAGCTCCGAGGGCACCGCCCGCCCGGCTGCCCCTGCTCTGGACCCCATTGTTGCCCGACCCGGGCGATGCCCGGCGCCCGGGGGCGGTCCCCAGGAGCCGCCGCGCCGCCGTGCCCGCAGCCTCGGCCGGCCGCTCGAGCCGGCTCCGCCCACACCTTTCCAAGTTAGCTGGCGGGCGAGCCGCGGGGAAGGCTCGGGCGCCCGGCCCCCTCCCTGCACGCCCCCACCCGGGCCGGAGCGGGGAGGGGGCGGGGGGCCGGGCGGGCTGCGCGCTCGATTTGCCTCCGAATTCTCTCCCGAAGGCTGCCTTGCGCGCTCTGACACAAAAGAGGGGACTTTCTCGCGGCTCAGCGCGAGTCCTCGCCTGGCGAGTTGCAATCCGGGGGTTCCTCCCGCCGCGAGGCCCCGCGGGCCCCCCTCGGCCGGCGGCTCCCAAAGCTCCGTTGGCCATGTGTAGGTTATTTTGGGTGCCGCAGCAAGGTGGTGCAGGTGAAAGGGAAGCGCGGCCGAGGCCGGGGGGCGGGGGCAGGGGTGGGGCGGGGTGGGGCGGGGTGGAGGCTCCGCGGACCCACCCCCCAGCCCGGCGGCCCGGGCGGCGAGGCGAGGGCCGGGCAGTGGGTGTTGCCTTCTACCTCTGCGAGCGGGGAGGGGTTAGTTTCCCACAGGGGATTTCAACCATCACACTCAGAGCCCGCCTCCTAATCCTCGGGCGGAGCGGCTCGGGGGCCCCATTTTATGGCAATAAAGCGACTTAGCGCCTGCTGAGCGAGCCCCTCCCCGCCGCCGCCCCCGCCCTCGGCCCCACCCCGGGGCTCGCCCGCAGCGGCGGGGCTTTGTTTCTGGGGAGGAGGACCCGGAGCTCTTTTGTTTGGGGGTTTGGTGTTTTCACCCCCCCCACCTCACCTCACCCCACCCCACCCCACCCCCCACGCCTCTCCGGTTTCCTGAGCTGCGGGCTGCAAGGGAGGAGAAGCGGCGTCTTGCAACCCCCTCGGCTGGGCCCCGGGGTAATTCGATGCGGGCCTGGCGAGGCTCCCCACGCTAGACCGGGGCTCGCGTCTCGGCAGCCTCCACCCACCGGCCCACCCTACATTTAGCGCATCATGTGATCCGGGTAAGTCATTTGCAAGTACAACAGTTCCCTGGGTTGCCCCCCATTCATTTCCTGAGAACTGCAGAGAGCAGCTGAGAGGCTCTGCCTGTGCGTGTGCGAGTGTGCGTGTGAGTGTGCGCGGGTGACGCCGTGTGTGTGCGAGAGTGAGTGTGTGCGCGCGCGTGTGTGTGCGAGAGAGAGAGAGAGAAAGGGAGAGAGAGAGGGGGACTCTGTGTGAGGGAAAGAAAACAATTTCTCCTGCTCTGCAGCTTCTGTTCAGGTCTGTGCCGATTCCGTTTCTTATCAAAATAAACAACCCCCTCCTTTTTTTTTTTTTTTTTTTTTTGCCATCCCAAATCAGACCGTGTTCTCTTAACATGTTTTATTTTCCTTCTGTCATCTGCTCAAGTTAAATCATTTTGGTTGGTCTGTGTTCTTAAAGGGGGAAAGTGTTGGGAAGCGGGAGGGGGCCGAGGGAGGGCGATGCTATTGCAAAGCAAGTAGCGTCGGTCGGATATGTGAAGAAGAAAGAAGGAGGTTTCTCTCTCCACCCCCCCCCGCACCAATTTTTTTTTTTTTTAAAGAACTTATCAAGTACCGTGAATTAAGCAAATGTTTTTCTACCCCTGGTGGAATTGTTGGTTGCAATGTTTGCCTGACGGTTGCCAAGGATGGGACATAAAACACCCGGGCTGAATCGGGGAGGCGGGGGTGGGGGGTTGTGGAAGTAGTTTGCCCCCAGGAAGAGAGCGAGTTCGGTGAATAGCTGCCGCACCGGGGCTGTGTGGGCTGTGGGTGTGCGCTGGAGAGAGTGGAGGGGAAGGGGTTAAGGCGGAGATGACACTGCTGGCATGAATAGTGGTCCTGGTGCTACATTCATTATTGTCTCTGGTCGTAATGATGTGTAACTGTCACTTGCTACAGTGCCTGGTCCGCGGAAGTAGCCAGGGGCTGGCCCGTGGCTGTTATTTTCAATTACGGGGGAGCCGGCCGGAGTTGACAAGGGGCAACTTTGCACGTCCACCCGAGCCGGGCAGCCCGCGGAGCTGGCCTGGGAGCCCTTTCTAGCCTCAGAAGCTCGCTCCCAGGACTCGGACTTGACCTCCGCGACATGAGTTGGTGTTCGTGTTAGATGCTCCCCTATGGGGAGAATCAATCCTGCTTTTGTTGGGTAGAGAGCTGCGTATTAGAACTTTGAAAAACTTTTATCTTTGGGGAAAAGGGTGGGGTGCACTCAACAGTTCTGTTTCGAAGTGCATTTGAGGCAAACGCTTGGAAAAAGTACCAATTCCTTTGTTATATGCCCTGCGGCTTCCCAGCCCCCCTTCACCCTGCGCTTCGAGTTTTGCATACTTTAATAGTAATACCCTTAATTCAGCTGATAAAAACTGACTGTGTTGAGTTAAAGAGTGTTAGTACAACGGAATGTGTAATCTGGATAAACAGTTTGTATGGTTAATATCGTCAGCTCTCTAATTTAACAGTACAGATGGTTTAAGTATCGTTCTGTATGGATTGTTTTAAGCAATCCCACTGGCAAATAGAATTCTCGGCCGAGCACTGGGATATTTTATTGTAAATCATCTTTAATATTCTCTGTTTCCCGGTCACACCAGGGAGGTGAGCAGGTCTATTTACATTTGGTGCCTGTGCATTCAGTGGCCTCAGTAGACATCTGTCAATCAAATAACGTCATTGTGCAAATCCACCTAGACGCCTCCAGGCCCTTTTCTTACTGGAGGAGAGAGTTGTTTAGATAAGTAAATGCTTTGAAATAAATTTGGTGTCTTTTAAAAGGGAGCCTCTTGTGATGGGAATAGGAGTGGTCACTCTGGAAGAGTGGGTGTATTCCATCATGTAACAAATTCTTTTTGGAATTGGCATTTAATAAAAACAGTGACTCCCCCCCCCCCCAAAAAAAAGCCTGGTTGTGCTGTTTGTAGACCCCATTCGCATTTTGTTTACATTCTTTAAAACCACGCAGAAATTGGTTGCGATAAAGGGGTATACTTTTAGGCTAGAAGATGTTTAACTGTGGAAGCTTAGTAGACATGGGATGGTGAAGGGCAAACATTTCAGTTGCATAAGTTGTATCTTTATCGCTGCAGCCTGGTCAATCGATTGGAGACTAGCTTGAGTATGGTAAGCTTCTTTGAGTTGGGGAGGGAGCAATTAGAGCATAGAAGTATTGGCAGAAATTGGTAATGCATTTAGGAGAGAAGTTTATTATTCTTGTCTTTTAATTCATAACTATTATGAAGTATACCGAAGCTGGTGAAATTTGGAAGTTTCAAATTTATGAACCAAAGCCATGTAACTAATATAGTTGTGTGAGATACACAGAACATTCTTGAGGAATTTCTGTTTATTTTTGAGTTGCTTCAGTTATTTATCTATTACTTAGCGATGCCTATTTAAAAGAAGCTTCGGTCAGCTAAACTTTATTTTGGAATGCTTTGTATTACTATTTATTGAATGAAAATTGTTGTGCCAGTGGGCCCTTAACATATATTTTTTTTCTCCAGAAAGTTCTTTTTCAGTAACTGAATGTCATTTGGGAGAAAACTGGTCCTGGTGTAGCATTTGAGACCTTGACCTTAGCAACTTTTGGCTGGTGGTTGTTTACTACAGCTGCAGCCTCTGTGTGTACAGAAAGGGAAGGGACCGCAAACACCAGTGCGCTCACTCTCCCCAGGCCAAGGGAAAAACAAATCAGGATGCGTGATGTTCATTCATTCCGAAGAGGGTGCATCAGGCATAGAATAGCAGTAGTGTTCTGGTCATTTAAAAATATATATGTTCCTCAGGGATTACTTCCCTGCCTTCTGTGAAAGGTAAACAAGCACTTGAACAGACTGAGTGAGTTTTAAATGTTCTATCATGAAGCAGGCTGTTATCAAGTGAATTGAATAATTTGGTCTTAAACATAGGTGTGGTTTTTTTTGTGTGTGTGTTTTGTTTTTTTCTTTTTCCTCTGCAAAGAGGACGTAAGTGCTTAGGCCTCTAGGCCTACACTGAGGGCATTTTGAACTCAAGCCAGTGTTGGTTAATCTAGAGTACTGAGTCGCCTTACCAGTGAGGTGATATTGTTAAGCAGTTGAACATACGAAGGTCCTCGCTGTTTTTGCCATTGTACAAAATGGAAAGTGTGGAATTTCATATTTATGTGTGAATTTCATTAAGATAATCAATTAAATTGGGGGTGTCAAATGGTTTTCTTTAGACTGTGAGAGAAACAGTCTTCTTAGAGGGTTTAGTTCATAAATGTAACTAGATGATTTGTGTATTGATACAAACTAGTTGTATTCTACAAAACTAGAGGTGCAGACTTACTTGAAAAGTTACTTGTTTTGGATAAGGAAGTCTTCCCGCTTGTGCTTTCACGCTGATTAAGGAGCAAGAACTAAAAATCTCAAAACTGCTTTATTTAACAGTTTTATTTAACACCCATGGTTATCTTTTTCCGTGTAGAAAACAGCTTTCATTTTTATAAATAATTTCTAAAATAGGTTGCGGTTGCTTGCCTTTATCATTTATGTTTTGAAAATGCTGTAGGATAGTAGAGTGGTAATATCTGTATTTTTGCCCCCTGTTCACTTATTTTCTTTTATGTTTATTTTTCAGCTGACAAATTACGCACAGCTTTCAGTCTTTAGTATGTACAAGATGTAAGGGTAAAAATATTAAAATTAAATCACTGGCGACACCCTATAAACCACAGCCTTAACTCATCCACCACAACCACAGCTCCCAAAATCAAAACGCAAGTAAACAGATGGGCCTTGCCCTATGCCCAGGAGGTCAACAGCCCTGGGCTCTGTGAGATCTGCTGTATTTCCAGATCCCAAACCCGTTCAGGGAAATGTCTGACTTCAACAGGCCAGAATTCATTTTCAGGGCCTGGACCAGCCACACCCCATCTGATGTCAGCTTTTGAGTTCTTGTGGCTGAGAACACATGCTGTGGATTAAATGGTTACTTTCTCTATATATTCTCAGTAATTATGTTACAAAAGGATTTTTCGGTTTTGGGTGTTTATTGTCATAAAAGTGGCTACTTGAGTAGTCCTGTTGCTCCATAAAAATTTGTTTGGGTCTGGCAGTAGACTACAGGATATTCACCCAGAGAATTCTGCTCTTGGCGTGGTCTTTCTTCCTGTCTTTTTCTCCAGTGAAAGTCATAAACTTCTGTTGCTGTTTCGTGGTATATTTTTTTGATTATTAGCATAATTGGACTGGTCTGAAGAGTATTGCTTTTTAGGTACAGATGGGGTAGCAGGAAGCCTTTGCTGCTGTACTGCTGCATGGAAGGTGAGAGAAACCATTGGAGAGCTTTGGGATAGTTTTCTCCGTCCCATCAGAGGTAATAGAAGCCGCAGCTATTACAGTTTACTGGCCTAGACAGCCAGGAGTTGTGTTCCCAGTGCTACAGTCACAACACCTGTGGGTTTTTAGAATTATTCTAGGCGTGATGTATATGTGTATATTACATGTATGTGTATTTGCTATTTTACGTATATTTTATGTATATATATGCATGCATGTAGTATTTATGAACGTGAATTTTTATATTCTGTATGTTGGTATATATCCCCCGGCACCCCCGACGCTACATATATTACGAAAAAGAATTACGGTAAAAAGTCCCCCTCCTCCCACTTGTATACAAAAGAAGGAAAACACACAGTTTGTTTTTTCCAAATCCTATGTTTAGTAATAATGTTCTCACTTGGTTTTGAGTTTAGGAAGCAAACTTAGAACGTGAAAACAGCCTTGCCCCAGAGAAAACAAACCAACATAACTAAATGAGAACCAAGATAAATGATTGTGAAAAAATGAAACAGCTAACTGTAAAGAAAATATTTATTCATTTCACAATCCGGTATCTGCTAAGATTATATATCCTGGAATCTGGACTGATTGAGGTGGCAGAGATATCACAATCTGAAGCAGGGTCTCTTGGTTACTAAAACTGGACGACCTTGGTTAAATTTCTTAACCTGAGTCTGTAAAATGGGAAAA